AAGATGTTCTAATTTATCTATTCAGAAGGTATTGAGGTTACCCTATTAAGTGAAGTAGCATTTGCTCGTAGCATTCTGACGTTTTGATCAACCGATCGCCCAACCTTGTTAACACACCAAACCATGCTTTCCGGTCTTTTCTTATTCTGGTTTTCATCCTTTATAAGTGACCATCATCTCAAGATATCGTTTATGCATTTCTCTGGAGGTCACCCAATGAATATATCAAGACTTCCTTAGTATTAATCTACACCGTTCATCAGATGTCCATCCCTCATGGATGCTAATTAATACGTACATGATTATGATGTAATTGTATCCAGGACCGTCACGAATTTCTTGTGAAAGCAACGTGTCGTCGTAAAGATGCAGCAAATTTGGAAACGACAACAAGTGTGATCTTGACGATAACTGACCAAAACGATGCGAGACCCATCTTCGAGCAAGACCATTACCACGCTCAAATCACCGATCAGGTTTGTGTCCATCCACTGAACTGCACTGCTTATGAACTGTTCGCTATCTTCGGTCACTTTGATTTCCTCTGCTGATTCTTGCAATCTTGATCACACTAATTTGAATGTCTCGAAAAATTATTCTCAAAAAAATTTAAAATCGCTCAGCTACCAACAGCAAAAAATCCCATCGATTCTCGTCAATTTTTAAGTTTTCGTATGGAACGTTTCCAAGATTTCAGTCAGCATTGATATTTTTCTGGGTGCAGTTTGCCGATTGCAAACTATGTTGTGTGACTGATTTTCATTCATTCTTGATGTAAGTTCATTGCAGTTGCCCGCATTCTCGGATGTCGTTCAAGTGGAAGCATCAGATGCTGATATCGGTTTGAATGGACAGATCTACTATTCACTTCTGAATCAGTCAGCTGATTTTATGATTGATCCGTTGACCGGATGGATAAGAACGTTGAAATCGGTTGATGCAGGAACGTATCATTTGCGCTTGTTGGCCGAAGATCGGCAGTCCCGACTGTTCTATCGTCAAGGCAGCGATGATGAGGAACAAGAGCGATTTCCAGCGGCCATTGTTTTGAATGAAGCCAAAGTGGTAAGTTCTGTTCCATCAATGCAAACCATTTCTATCGACTGATTCTGGCTATGCGATTCCTTCATGTCGAAGTGTAACATTACTTCAAAATTTGAAAGTGTTTTCCAACCAAATATGAATGTTTATGATTGCTTATGTCAATTTCTTTGTCTGCGATTGTCTAATTCGGAGGTCGCCGTAACAGATCAGGGAAAATCTCCATCGACTTAGTAACAGATATCTTCTGATGTCACTCCTCTTACATGTTTGAGCCTGTTCATTTTTATGCCAACGCCCATACTGACAAGTTTCGTTTTTTTGGTTTATAATGAACCAGTATCTCGATTTTGTTTCATATTCATAAAACGGCATTTGCAGTTGTCGTTTTGATTTCAGACGATCAAAGTGAATGAATCAAAAGCGTTGATGCCTCAAATTGTTTTCGAACGTAAACCAATCCGTAGCGGTTCGATGAATGATTCTCAATTAGTTGCAATCATACGAGTGAGCGATGTTCAAGAGAGTGATGAAGTTATGGTCGCACTGTTGAATAGTGATTATTCGCATGCATTTCGAATCGATAAAGAAGTGATAGGCGGCGCATGGCGATTGGACACTATTTCAGGTTAATGCTAAACTGAAATTGAATTTTTTCATTTTGGTTATCACATATAACTTTATGCTCCCTGCAAGCATGTCAGGAACATCCCCATCTCAAACGAACTGTAAGGAATGTTCCCAAAACAGAGGCTTGTTCGATGATAAGGCCAACTCCGAAGAACTAGCTGTAACTTTCCAAATCCGAGTCAACGATTTCTCCAATCCTAAATTTGCTTCATGACATATTAGTTCATAGTATATTCATAATAATACATTTAATATTTTCAAGGTTACCGTCTACCAACGAATTTAACACTGTCGTTGATCGCAAAAGTTATTGGGTCGCCTCAACGGAATTGTACGGCAGAAATTGAAGTTGAATTCGACGAGAAACGTAGTGTGAGGTTTTCGAATGTGGACGGAACACTTCATTTGAACGTTAATGAATCAGTTCCAATCGGCTTCGTGCTGATCACAGTTCAAGCGTACGTCACTAATGGCTTTGTCGAAGACAGCCGTCGCTTGAGGTCAGCAATCACATTTTTTGCTATGCATCACTGCTAGTAAAAACTCCGCGTAAACATCGCTGCTCTGTGTTTTTTGTTGAGCGGAATGCAATGTCCACACTTTCTCACACTGATAAATTTCGAGTCAGCTTTTTTACGTCTGGGAACGTTCATTATTCAGTAGAAGCTTCCAAAATTTTTTAAATTCTTACAGTAAATAATCTCGGCTCAGTGAATAATCTCTCGACTTTATAGATATTCAATCATCCAAAATGATACCGTAAGC